TGGTTGATGGGTGCACCAAAATCTCACAAATCACCACTGAAGAACTTTCTCATGTACCCAAATACCACCTGTTACCCCAAAACTTATGGAAATAAAAAATATTTAAAAAGAACTGAATAACTTCAGGGAGCTCTGGGGCTGAATCTAGTTGTCTGTACCCTGCCCCAGGATGACTAAGGCAGAGAGGAATGTTGCCTCCTAGGGTGTAAGGGCCAGATGGAGGAGGCAGTTCAGAGTAGGGCTCTGGATTGGTTTGCACATGTAAATCATGCTCCCAGCGGGCAGTTGTTTGCTATCTCTAAGAACTGAAGGGGCCTGGAAGGGCAGTCTCTCCCCAGGCAGGGAGGTCTCAGATGCCAGAGCATCAAGAATACAGAAAATAAGAACACAGAGTTAATACATACTGTTAACTTCATAAAGTGACTTTCAGGTCTATACATCAGCCAACTGAGAGCTTTGCAAATGTGAATTGGTCTCTTAAGATTTTTGAGCAGTTCTGGGTTGTAGAGGGCATTCATCGTTCTCATATGGCCAGCATACATTCCCCTTTAATGGTAACGGCATGCCAATTTTCCTTTATGGAACCAACCCTCTATTCCACATTAAACTCACGTGGTTTACAAAGGGCTGACTCCTCTCCTTGATGTCTGGGTGGGTATGAGATCAAACTAGGCTAATCATGTATTCCATAATATTTAGTGTGTTCATTCCCCATGCTAGGTACTATTCTAAGTATTGGGAATCCAACATAGGACATCTTGACCTCTTGCTATTATGGGGATGGATAGGCTCTAGGCTGGGTGTGTAATATAACAAGGGTCAATCTTGGGAATTCTGCCAAGAATCACTGCCTCTAATACCCATGGCCCCTTCCTCCTCACTAATGAAACTCTCTTTCCCTTGAGACAGTAGTTTCCCAGCTAAAAATCCTAATTTCCCAGGCTTCCTTGCAGATAGAGGTGGCTATAGACAGTTCTGGACCACAAGGTGCAAACTGAAGTCTATTTGGTGGAGTTTCTGGGAAGTCATTCTCTTCTTGATAAGGTGAAGGAGGCTCAGTAGCATAAGCCTCCTGCCATTTGTCCTCCTTGTCCCTACCAGGAATAGGGGGTCGGTGGGGTTGCAGAGGCCAGTGGGCAACCTCAAGGGCAAAAGCCACCAGCTGAGTATGGGCAACAGTAATTGGATACTGACGATTTTACTGCAAGATTCCCTACTCTCAGGACTTCTTGTCACACGAGAAAAATAAAAATCCTCCAGTTTAAGGCTCTGTCACTTGAGTTTTCTGTTACATGCAGCTGAATGCAATCCTTAAGAGACAGTGGCACCATCTGTTCATGGGGCTAACCCAATGGGATGTAAGCTTAGATGGAAACCCAACACAGGGGTAAGCCAACCCCGGGGAAAGCGGTGCTGAGAGATGGATGGTGTCTTGTCGTTTGCTCTGAGCCCTGGGTCCAGCCTTGCCAGAAGGCAGACTCTCTCTGGGAACCTGCCACCATATGAACTTTTTGGCTTTAACTAGCCTGAATAGGGGTTCTCTAACGCCTAAAGAAATGATGGTTCTCTGCCATCATTTCTTTCACTAAGCTCTCAGATTTCTCTTTTGAAGTAGAAAATTACAATTTAATTATGTGAAAAAAATGTCTTTAAAATGAACTGTAATAAAACAGATGGCTCATCAGACTGGAGGAAAAAAATTAATAACAGATGCAATTGCTGATGAAAAACCTCAAGCAAATTAATGTGGACAGTAAACGAATTCAACATTCCAATTAAGGGAGTGGTTAACCTGTGGTTTGAGGGATGCGTGTGTCTCTGGATGATGCAGAGTAGATATGCATGGACCTGGGAGCTCGGAGCATTTATATGACCTGCAGAGCATAGATTCTGAAGCAATGTTTCTCAAATTTGAGTGTAAATCAGAATCCCTAGAAACCCTGTTAGATCACCACAGCCACAGTGATTTGGCAGGACTAGAGGAGAGGGTGTTCTAAGAATTTGTATTTCTAACAAGTTCCCAGGTGCTGCTGCTGACAGTCCCAGGACCATACTTTGAGAAGCATCACTCTAGAATAATTCCAGTTAAAGCAATTGCGATGTAATTAACATATCATAAAATCACCCATTTAGAATGTGCAAGTAGGTGGGTTTTAGTACATCTGAAAGTTGTGTGACTATGACCACCATATAATTCCAGAAGATTTTCATCTCCCCAGTGGAAACTCCAAGCCATCAGTGGTTATTTCCGGTCCTCATCTCCTCCAGCCTCTTGTAACCACTAATTAATTTTCTGTTTTTATAGATTTGACTATTCTGGGCATTCCACATAAATGGAATTGTAACATGTGGGCTTCTGTGTCTGGCTCCTTTCAATGAGCATATGGTTCCTAGGCTCGTCCACACTGTAGCATCTATCAGTATGCCATTCCTTTTTATGGCTGAATAATATTCTATTATATGGATATACCACATTTCACTTATCCATTCATTCATCACTTGATGGATATTTGAGTTGTTCTACTTTTTGGCAATTATGAATAATGCTGCTATAAACTATTGTGTATAAGTTTGCATATGGACATATATTTTCATCCTTCTTAAATACAGAACGAAGAGGGAAATTGTTGGGTCATATGGTGACTCTATGTTTAACTCTTTGAGGCAACATCAGGCTGTTTTCCAAAGCAGCAGCCCTATTTTATATTTCCACTAGCAATGTATGAGGGCTCCAATTTTCCTATCTCTTCACCAATACTTATTATTGTCTACCTTTTCTGGATTATAGCCATTTTAGTGGGTGTGAAATGGCATCTCATCATGGTATCTCATTTAGATTTCTCTAATGCTAATGATGTGAGCATCTCTGCTACTCTTAGTAGCCATTTGTATAATCTTCTTTGGAGAAATGTTTGTTCAAATCTTGTGAACATTTTCAAATTGGATTGTCTTTTATTGTTGAGTTTTAACACACACACACACACACTACACACACATGATACATGATTTGCAAATGCTTTCTCCCATTCTGTGGTTAGAAACTGCTGCCTAATGCAAGGTCACAAATATTTATACCTATGTTTTCCTCTAAGAGTTTTATATTTTTAGCTATTACATTTAGGTGTTTGTTCCACTTTAACTTTTGCATATGGTGAGCAGTAGGGGTCAGACTTCTTTTAACATGGTTATTCAGTTATCTTAGCTCCATTTGTTGAAAAGACTATTATTTCCGGCATTGATTTGTCATTACACTTGTCAAAAGCTAATTGGCCTGAAATGTATAGGTGCATTTCAGGACTTCCATTTGTATTTCATTAGTCTATATGTCTATCCTTATGCCAGTGCCAGACAATCCTGATTACTCTATCTTCGTAGTAAGTTTTGAAGGCAGGAAGTGTGAGTTCTCCAACTTTGTTCTTTTTAAGGACTGTCTTGGCTATTTGGGGTCTCCTGCATTTTCATATGAATTTTAGGATCAGCTTGTTGATTTCTGCAAAAAAGTCAGCTGGGGTTTTGATAAGGATTGCATTAAATCTGATCAATCTAAGGACTACTATCATTTTTAAAATGTTAAGTCTTCCAACCCATGAACACAGGATATCTTTCCATTTATTTGTCTTTAATTTCTTTCTACAATGTTTTGTAGTTCAATATACAAGTCTTGTACTGCTTTTGTTAAATTTACTCCTAAGTATTTTCTTCTCTTAAATGCTACTGTAAATGGGATTGTTTAAGATCATTTTCAGATTGTTAATGACCAAGGCATTGAAATACAACAACTGAATTGTATATATTGATCTTGTATCCTGCATGTTTATTAATTCTAATAGTGTTATTTTTGTGTGGGTCCCTTAGGATTTTCTATAAACAAGATTATGTCATCCATGAATACAGAAAGTTTTGCTCTTCCTTTCTCATCTGGGTGCCTATTTCTTTTTCCTGCCTATTTTCCCTGGCTAGAGCCCTCAGCATAATGTTGAATAGAAGTGGTGAGGCACTATGTCCAGCAGGGGATGCTGGGTTACGCTGCAGCATAAGCACACCCCTCTAAACTTAGTTTTAAAAGTCACTAGAGTGAATCGGCAACCAACAGAATGGGAAAAAATGTTTGCAGTTTACCCATCTGACAAAGGGCTGATATCCAGAATTTACAAAGAACTCAAACAGATTTACAGGAAAAAAACACACAAGCCCATTCAAAAGTGGGCAAAGGATATGAACGACACTTTACGAAAGAAGACATATATGAGGCCAACAATCATATGAAGAAATGCTCATCGTCACTGGTCATCAGAGCAATGCAAATCAAAACCACATTGAGATACCATCTCACGCCAGTTAGAATGGTGATCATTAAAAAATCTGGAGACAACAGATGCTGGAGAGGATGTGGAGAAAAAGGAACACTTTTACACTGTTGGTGGGAGTGTAAATTAGTTCAACCATTGTGGCAGACAGTGTGGCGATTCCTCAAGGCCTTAGAAATAGAAATTCCATTTGACCCAGCAATCCCATTACTGGGTATATATCCAAAGGACTATAAATCGTTCTACTATAAGGACACATGCGCACAAATGTTCATTGCAGCACTGTTTACAATAGCAAAGACCTGGAATCAACCCAAATGCCCATCAATGATAGACTGGATTGTGAAAATGTGGCACATATACACCATGGAATATTATGCAGCAATCAGAAATGATGAGTTTGTGTCGTTTGTAGGGACATGGATGAAACTGGAGAACATCATTCTCAGCAAACTGACACAAGAACAGAAAATGAAACACTGCATATTCTCACTCATAGGCGGGTGATGAAAAATGAGAACACATGGACACAGGGAGGGGAGTACTAAACACTGTGGTCTATTGGGGGGAAAAGGGGAGGGCCCGTGGGAGGGGGAGGTGGGGAGGGATAGCCTGGGGAGAAATGCCAAATGTGGGTGAAGGGGAGAAAGGAAGCAAAACACACTGCCATGTGTGTACCTATGCAACTGTCTTGCATGTTCTGCACATGTACCCCAAAACCTAAAAAGCAATAAAAAATTAAAAAAAAAAAGTCCCCCTTCTAGCATAAGGAAGCTTGTGTGGGCTTCTGTGCTGGCATGTGAAGTTCCACTGGGTGGGCTTCTGTGTTGGCATATGAATATCTGTTGGGTGGGCTTCTGTGCCGGCACATGAAGATCTGCTGGGTGGGCTTCTGTCACTGGTATTCTGTTCACGACCCTGATACATGGTCCTAGGCAGGCCTTTATCTCCTACTTCTCCTCCCAGCACAGGGTGCACTGGCTTGGCTGGAGGGGTGGCATGGAGTGGATTTCTAGGGCAAGTGGCCTGGATGGTTCTGTTTGGTAGACACTGTCCCTTGGGCAAGCCACTGCCCCTCTCTGTCCCTCAGCTTCCTGCCTTGGAATATAAGAAAACTAGTTTAAATATTCCCAAGACCCATTTTTAACTCTTGTTTTTCTCCTGATCTTAGGGGAAAGCTTTTAGTCTTTCACCATTAAGTACGATGATAGCTTTGGGGTTTCTGTTGGTGTCATTAGTCAGGTTGAAGAAGTTTCCTTCTATTTCTAAATTTGTGTTTTTTCATCAAGAAAATGTGTTGGATTTTGTCAAGTGCCTTTTCTGTGCCTATTGAGATGATCATGTGGTTTTATCCTTTAATAATGTGGCATATATCACATTGGTTGGTCTTTGTATGTTGAACCAACCTTGCATTCCTGGAATAAATCCATTTTATTGGTGAACTCCATTTTATAAAGAGGAAAACCAAAACCAAGTCCCATGAAGGTTAATGAACTACCCAAAATCTCACATAAAATTAGTGGCAGAGCCACAAACAGACCCTGCTTCCTCAGTCAGTGGCCTCTGTGCTGGCCTCTGCAGGGAGGGAGAGAGATGCAGGTAGATGCAGGAGTATCGTCAAGGCTGGATTATGAATGACCACCTCACCATTAACCAACACTTGTGTTGTGCCTCACATCTTAGAGGTTGTTTTCACAAATACTGTCTTTGTTCCTCATATGAGCATTGGGGGTTCTTTTTCCTATTTCACAGGTAAATAAACTAAACTTTGGTGAAATTCAGTGACTGACTGAAATATCACAGACAACAGGAGGTAGTACCAGGTCTCGAATGCAGATATTAAGAGTCTAAATCCTGGGTCCTCTGTACTGTGTTGCTTGCCTTCCCTCTGAATCCTATGATTTCAGGGCCCGTGGAAATCCCCCTGTTACTTACCAGTGGGCAAGTGTTAAATGTCAGATTAGAGCCCCATACTTTTAGCTCATAGATTTGATCTAAATAGAAAAATCCTCTTATATTTATGGGAACCATTAAAGTTTTTCCAGTCTCTTCTTCCTTGGGGTGAATAAGCTTTAGAATCAGTAATTTTTGGTATTTTTATTATTTTTTGTGCCATTATTTAGACTTATTAAATTGATTGCCTTCTAAAGAGTACTGAAGCTTTGTGGTAAACAGTGAGCTAGGCGCCCAGGTTCAAATCCCAGCTCTGACATATGTCAGCATTAGGGCGCCTAGGAAAGCATTTAACCTCTCTGTATTTGTTTTCTCATCTATAAAATGGAGATAACAAGAATCTCCACCCCACTGTGCTACTGTGAGACTAACAATGAGCCAACAAACATGACATATTTAGAACAGCGCCTGGTGCAGAGTCAACACTCTGATTCTCGCTACTGCTGATATGAACCCCGCTACCTTCCACTTGCTGAGCACCTACTATTGTCAGCATTGGGCTGGGCTGTTTTACAGTTGGAACAAGCTCAGAGAGGTCGGGTACCTTGTCCGAGGTTACACAGCTAGAACTGGCAGGCTCAGGACTCAATTCCATGGGTGACCAATGCTAAGGCCTCTTAGCAACAGTGTCCTATCTCCTGCAGGGTGGGTTTGATGACCCTTGGGGCATTAGAGGGGCAAAGAGAAGCCCAGTAGAAAGCAGAAGAGGTCAAGACCTGCTGTTGAACACCCTGAGGTTTGGCGAGGAGGGGAAGAATGAAAGAAATGATGTGAGAAAGAACATCAGGTATTAGCAGGCGCAGGGGCAGGCCCGGCTGAGCACCACACACCAGGTGGAGGTTGTCTGGGCTGGGGTGGTGCAGAGAGACCACAGGGCCAGGGAGAGACGCCTCCCTGGCAGCACCATATAAAGGCCTGGAGAGCTCTCAGGGATTGTGGAAAGGCAGCCTTGGCTCAGTCTCCCTCTTACAGAGGCACAGTCAAGTGACACTGGGACCCTGTCCATGCTTCCTCACCAAAGCAGCTGCCCTCATGGGGAGGGACAGACTGGAGCTGCAGACCAGGCTGTGTCAGTCAAGGGAGAAGCTGGGCCCGGATTTCCCTTGCCTGGTGCCAATCAGACAGACCCTATCCCAGGGACCCTTGGCCCAGACCTGCAGACACTCCCATAGCCCCTACCCTGAGGCTCTGTGCCTGGTTTGGAACTGGATGTAAATGGGTCCCAGAGCTGGAAGGATGTCAGGGTTGGTACACCAGCTCCCTCATTCTAAAGATGACCTGAAGTTACAGCCCGCTTTGCAACTCACTGCAGGGATCTCAAGGCTTCTGGCAAAGTTGTCCTTCCCCATCACTCTTGATGGTGTGGCACTAGGAGGACCCTTAATCTCTCTGGGCCTCCAGGTCCTCACCTGTGAGACAGTGATAACTGTCCCTGCCCACCCACTTCAAGGATCCCTGGGCAGATGAAAGAAACACAAAAAGCACCAGGCACACTGCCCTGCCTCTGAAGGCCTCATCTTGAATTTGGAGGCCCTAGAGAACACTAAATCGAGGCTACATCAGAGGGACACCAATAGAATCAGGGAACACGTTGTTGGTGCTCCGTCCTGCTGGCAGGCCCTCTCTGCTAAGCCTTCAGCAATACCACCAATGGCAAGGTGAGGCTGGCCAGCTTCCCTCTATTTGCACATTTGCACACCACACAGTCCCAGCAGCCAGCCTCCTCCCTTCCTTTCCTTCCGGCTGCCAGGCGCATTCCAGCATAGACTTTCGGCTCAGGACTGGGCCCTCCTGGCCAAAGTCAACAGAGGAAGCAGTCAGAGGACAGCTCCTTGGTGTCTGGCAGATGTGGGGTGCTAGATCTGATCATGGCACCTATTCACCTGTGGGAGGCTTCCTGAGCCCCGGTTTTTTCATCTGGGAAATGGGGACCCCGCCAGCTACACATCAGGGCTTCCATGGATACTCTAGTACTGAATAGAAGATGCCAGGCACAGTGCCGGGGCCAGAGCAGGTTCTTGCTGGAGGGCACTCTGCTATGTAGCTGCTGGCTGGGGCCCTGCCTTCCTCCATCTCCCCTAGGAGGTTCTAAAAGCTGCACAGCTTCCTTGGTGGCTCTTGGGTCTGGTCCAAGCGAAGTCATCATTAAGATGGCTTCCTTGCTTTTCTTCAGCTTCACCACAATGCCCGTGGAAGGGGATGTGCGGATCCTGACATCCTCGGCAGCCCCCATATTCCAGCCTCTTTCTAGTGGCTGGAAAGCTAAACGTGACATTTCCCAGAAGCTAAAGTTCTGGATTCATATTAGGTCTCTGATTTGAAAAGCAGAATTGTGGTGAGGCTGGACCAACCACCTTCCTGCCACTGTCCAGCAGGGCTGGGGGATGCTAGGTTTTGCTACGCCATCAGCACACCCTGTAAACTTTTCAAAGTTCCCCTTTCAGCATAAGGAGGCTTGTGTGGGCTTCTGCTGCTGGCACGTGCGGATCTGTTGGGTGGGCTTCTTATTGCTGGCATTTTTGTTCAGGACCCTGACATGTGGTCCTGGGCAGGGCTTTATCTCCCCACTCCCAGCATGCAGTATATTGGCCTGGCTGGAGGGGTGGCATGGAGTGGATTTCCAGGGCAGGTGGCCTGGATGCCTGGTTCTGTCTGATCAAGACTGTCCCCTGGGCAAGCTGCTGGTCCTCTCCGGTTCTCACTTTCCCATTTTGGAATATAAGAAAGTCAGTCTAAAAATTCCCAAGATCCCTCTAGTATTCAGAGACTGTGGGCTGCTAACCACAGAGAACTTAAAAGAATATTGCTTTAATTTTGACAAAAAAAATACTGAGCTTTCTTCTCTGTGATGCTTTATTTTGTCTTTTCAAGAACCACTTGTAGCCAAAAGTAGAAACCACTCAAATGCCCATCAACTGTGAATGGATAAAATGTGGCCTTCATTATCCATACAATGGCATATTCAGCCATAAACAGGAATAAAGTACTGACACATATTACAGCTCGGATGAACCTGGAAAACACGTTAGGTGAAGGAAGCCAGTCACAAAAGGCCACATATTGCATGATCCTCTTTCCATGAAATATTCAGAATCGATAAATCCAAAGACATAAGAAGTCAGTGAGTGGTTGCTGGGGGAGCCGGGGGAGGTGGGAAGGGAGGTGGGAAGGGGTGCCTTTTGGGGTGATGGAAATATTCTAAAACTGATGTTGGTGATGATGGCACAATTTTGTGAATATACTAAAAGCCACTGCACTGTACACTTTAAAGGTATGAATATGGTAGTAGGTGAAAAAGAAACCTGTTATGTGAAAAAATAAGGATGCCCAGCCAGAGTGTGTTTTAATGGGTCTGTGAACTGATATTCCACGCGGCACAGAGTGACTGAAAAGGAAGCTCCTTTAAAATTCTCACCTTGATTTATGAGACAGTCAACTGAATGTGCAATTTCTCTGGTGGCTTCCGAGACCAGGGTAAGAACAAAATCATTTTCATTATAAAGTGCTGTGTGTCTCTGGGGGCCTGGAACAGGCAAGGACTTTGCGTGGAACTGCATATGTAAATGAGCCCACAGCACCTGCAGTTCCTGCAGTGCTTTCACCAACGTGCCCAGAAGCTAAGAGGCAAGGACAGGAAGGCGGAGTGTTAGCGAGTTCCATTTCTGCAGTGCCGCCTTCTGAGCTTAAAAGGACTACAAAGGCCTCCCTCCTCCCAACCAGTAGAACCCTCTCAAGAGCTATTTAGAACTGAAGAAGACGGGGGTGGATGGGGAGAAAAGCTCTAAAATCTTCCCAAAATCTTCCTGTTGCCTGTTACGGGTTTTGCTATCACAACGGAAGAGAAGGCTGAGTGGTGCCATCTGAGCCCCGAAGAGAGCATGTGAGATTCCAAAGGCCCTAACTTCACCCCAATTCAACACGGTTTACTCGACACACACACACATTATTTGGCACCCAGCACGCACGCTAGAAGACACGAGCGTCCAGACAGAGGCAACCAATTCCCTTATGAACTCCCAAGGATAGAAGAGCAAAAGAGTCCCTTGGTGGGGTGATGGTGCTGTCCCCTCAGCACATCTGGGGCCTGGGTTCAGAAGGCCACTGTGTAAAGCCCAGCTCTGCCCCTTCTTCCTGTATGACCCTGGGCCACTCAGCCTCTCTGTGCCTCAGTTTCTCCACCTGTGAAATGGGAACAATAACATTATCCACCTCCCTAGGGTTTTAATGGGTTTAATGACTTAATAGGTCTAAAGCACCCTATCTGGGCCAGGCGCGGTAGCTCACACCTGTAATCCCACCACTCTGGGAGGCCGAGGTGGGTGGATCACTTGAGGTCAGGCATTTGAGACCAGCCTGGCCAATATGGTGAAACCCTGTCTCTACTAAAAACACAAAAATTAGGTAGGCATGGTGGTACGGGTCTGGAATCCCACCTCCTTGGGAGGCAGAGGCAGGAGAATTGCTTGAACTTGGGAGGTGGAGGTTGCAGTGAGCTGAGATCACACCACTACACTCCAGTCTGGGCAACAAGAAGGAAACTCCATCTTAAAAAATAAATAAATAAACAGAAAATGAAATACTGCATATTCTCACTCATAGGCGGGTGATGAAAAATGAGAACACATGGACACAGGGAGGGGAGTACTAAACACTAGGGTCTATTGGGGGGAAAAGGGGAGGGCCAGCGGGGGGGGAGCTGGGGAGGGATAGCCTGGGGAGAAATGCCAAATGTGGGTGAAGGGGAGAAAGGAAGCAAAACACACTGCCATGTGTGTACCTATGCAACTGTCTTGCATGTTCTGCACATGTACCCCAAAACCTAAAATGCAATAAAAAATTAAAAAAAAAAATAGATAGATAAAATAAAATAAAGCACCCTGTCTGGCCCAGAGTAAGTACTTAGTGTGTTTTACCTCCTGTTCCTATTCTAAGAACTTCCATGAGCCTGGACTTTTGTGATACACACACTTATCCCGTGGTTTCTTCACTGAGAGGAGCTGAATTGCATCGTAGACCAAGGGTACATAGCTAAGGCCATGCGCTGGCTTCATGACAGTCCTGGGCTGGTAGCTTGGGACTCGGATCCCAGCTGGACCAGATCTTGAGGGTATTCACAGCTTGGGAAGCACAGAGTGGAAAAGTGGCTCCCCACACAATGGCTGTGTGACTCGTGAAGTCCCACAGTCTCTCTGGGCGTCAGTTTTCACCTCTGCAGATGAGGATAATGACATTCCTCCCTCACAAGGCAGCTGTGAAGATGAAATGGGAGTGCATGGAATGAAGAGGCAGTACTCAGTGGATAGTGTAGGGTGCTCAGGGTGGAAGACTGCTCACTGCACCTGCAGAGCTGCTGGGTAACCATGGGCCATCACTTACCCTTCCTTCTCTGTAAAGTGGAGATATAATCATCCCTGCCTCGTTCTGTGGCAAGGCATGAACAAGGGGATACACGTAAAGCTCTTAGAACAGGGCATGGCACACAGACGCCCCGTGAGATCCTACCACTGACTGAATCATTCCTCTTCTTCCCCACCCACAAATTCATATGTTGCTGTACTAACCCCCAATGTGACTGTATTTGGAGATAGAGCTTTTGGGAGGTAACTAAGGTCCTAAGAGTGGGGTCCTAATTCAATAGTGGCCTTAGAAGAAGAGGAAGAGAGGGATCTCTCTCCAAACGCATGCACCAAACCAGAAAAGGTCACGTGAACAGAAAGGCAGCTGGCTACAGGTTGGGAGGAGGGACACAGAACCCAACCATGCGGGCGCCCTGATCTCAGAGTCGCAGCCTCTAGAAATGTGAGAAAATACATCTCCGTTGTTGAAGCTGCTGGTGGCATTCTGTGACGACAGCCCGCGCTGACTACTGTAAGAATTAGAGCAAAGGAAGAATTTCCCATTTCCTGCGTAGTGCCTAACGTATGCCCAGGCCCCAGGAGCTGTCTGCTGGCTGCTATAATAAAAGTGGCACGAAGGGCTGCGTCCCGGTAAGAACAACGTGATTTCCTTACCCTTATGAGGGCAGGAGAAAGTTCTGTTGACGGGCCCGGGTGCAGCCTCAGCGGACTCACAAGATCTCCGGGACTGTGGGCCAAAATAAGCAAACAAACCGCACCAGGAGATTTCCCGGCTGGGCTGCGGCTAGGGTCATTGCCATCAGTTTCAGGGCGGTGCCAGCACTGCAGACCATGGTTTCCACGGGAGAAAGCTCCTCTTCCTCTTCTTTCCCCCACTCACATCCAGCCCTGGGAGGCCTAATTACCAGCCTCTGCTGTCTACGGTGGGAAGAGCATGCCTGTATTGGGTGTCCACATGGAAATCCACCATCAGGACGGGTGGGCGCCAAAGCCGGGTCCTGCTGATGCTGCTGGGCTCTACCCCGGCAATCCCAGCGACTCCTCTCCGGGTCAGCGAGGAGGGAACAGGCTACGGCTTCCCACCTCCCCACCTATCAGCTGTGTGCTAGGAGCAGAGATGATGCATAAAGCACATTGTGCTCAGATTTACTCTGCTCAATTTACTCTGCAAACCCAGAAGCGCCCAGAGGGCAGGGACTGTGGCTGTCCTGTTTCTTTCTGATCCCCAAAGCCTAGGACAGAGCCGAGCCCTAACTATTTACTGACTGAGAGGATCATCTTATCTGCAAAGTGCCTGAAGCCCAGACCTGGCACATAACAGGGGCTTGGTACAGGTTAGTTTCCTCTTCTCGAGCCCTGGAATGACCAATTGTCCCGCCAGGGATTCTGGAACCTATGATCTTTCTAGAACACTGTAGTCCCAAAATGGGAGGATAACGGAAGCCACATGGTTAAAGCACACTAGGAGTCACACTAACATTTGTGCTGTGTGCCAGACACGGTGCACAGACCTTGACTAAAGTATCCGATTTGTGACTCAGGTCAACCCTGGGAGGTAGGTGCCATCATCCCCCACTTTGTGGATGAGGAATGGAGGTTGAGGGAGGTGAAGCAGTTTACCCAGAGTCACCCTGCTGGTGAGTGGCAAGACTGAGATTTGAACCCAGGACTTCTGGACTCCAGAGCCGGCCTCCCAGCTTGTCCTTGACAGCACACACGAACTGCACGTCGATACGGGGCTAGACTTATTCCTAGACACCCGAAGCTATGCCGGTTCCAAGCTCACCGGCAGAGTGGCTTCTCCCTCTTCCTGTGGCCCCTGGCCCTGTGACTCCTCCCCTGGCTCTGTGGTTCCTTCCAGTGCCCCAGCTTTGGAAAATAGGAGCTGCATCCACCCCTAAGAAACACCCACCCCTAAGAAACACCCTCAAAGCCATCCTGCAGCCCCAGGCCACTGTGACACCTGAACAAGGGGTGGGTGGGGTGAGGTAGGTGGTGGCAGGGCCGGGGACTGGATACAGGGTGTTTCTGTCGGGGTGCAGTTTCACTGATTCGTTCCAGTTTCCTGCTAACCTCTGCCCACCTGGGGCCTCAATTTTCCTGGCAGCTGTACACACCTAAACGAGAAGCAGCCTAAACAAGAAGCAGCTGTACAGCTCTGTTCCCAGCCCCTGCTCCTGGGGGGGGGGGGAGGGAGGAAGGAGAAGAGGAAGCTGCTTGTGGTTTCCAGGGACAACACCTAGAAACACATCCGCATGTGCACAAAGGAGGCTTCCCCCGGGAGGCAGGAAGCTGAGGCCTGTTCCTGAGGACGGCGAAGACCCGTGCTCGGAGGAAGCGTGCTGAACTTGGCTCAGGGATGCGCCGAACTTGGCTCAGGGATGCGCTGAACTTGGCTCAGGGATGCGCTGAACTTGGCTCAGGGATGCACTGAGCCCAGGAGAACAGCCCAGAGCCTCTGGCTTGAGGAAGAAGGCGGGCCACTATATAGCGGGAAGTCCTCCCCCAGGCAAGAGCAGAGCCCCTCAGAGGAGGACTCAGGGGTGCAGAGAACCTGGGAGCCAGGAGGACCCAGGAGCCATCTGGTCCTAGCCCCTGCAAGACAGCTGCATTCTAAGCCCCTGACCCTGGGAGGTGACCTGTCCAGAGGCCGCACAGTCACTTCTCTGTGAAACAGTAGCTCCCAGGACAAGGACAGAGTGAAAGCATGGCTGGTCCAGGGTCCTCCCTGCACAATCCTGTCAAACTCTGGGCTTAAGCAATGGAAAGATGAGGCATCCCTACCTACGGCTGACTTGCTTAGGTAAGGATGACCAAAAAGGGCATGTCCCTTCCCCTGGTTTTCCTGCAGCACCTGGACAGTGGACGGCCTCAATACCAAGATTCAGGTGAAGTGGCCACTGCGGGGGAGTGGTAGCTGTGGCCCCATCAGACCCCACATCTGCAAAATGTGGATTCCGCCACCCACCTCATAGGGTGGAGAACGGGCACAGAGAGCTCTCCAGACAGCAAGTCGCTCCCCCTTGCCCCACCCCTCATAAGCTCGGCTGCTTCCTGGACTGCGGTTGCATCTCCTTAAATGCAGCCTGCTCTGGCACTCCGGCCCTCCCTGGCATCCGGTCTCCAGGCCCCAAGGAACTGAAATTCCTTTGGTGACTGTAGCTCTGACCTTTCCCCAGCCTCATGTGGACACAGGAGGGACACTGGGCTGGGGATGTGATAACCTGGGGCCGTGAGGGGGACCCAGAGCATGAATCGTGGCCTGTGCCTGGACCTTTCGTGAATACAGGACCTGTCTTGGTTCATCACCGTGAGCTGGTTCTGTGGGTGGACGCACTGCCCTCCCAGCGCCGTGCCGTGCAGAAATCCTCCCTCACCTGATGCATCCAAACAGGTAAGCTGGAAAGGGGACCTAGGATCTGGAGACCACTCCTCCTGCTTTCCATGTCCCACACACGGCCCTGGTGGCTGAGTTGACCCAAGCACGGAGCAACCTCTATCCCCACCAGCCAGACTGGCTGAGCAGGGCCCCTGTTCCCCACAGGGCACGTGGGCAGGTGTGTGGATGTGCCAGGGAAGTGTTTGAGACAGGCCCAGACACCAATCCCCTCAGGGCGGAGGCCTGGGAGGCCTGGACCCCTGGGCTAGGCTCCTCTGTGACCTCAGTCAGGGAACACATTTCATTTTCTGAGTCTGCCCTTAATGTGAAGAAAGCCTGGGACGTGGTAGGCAGTAACAATGTTCAGCAATTCTGAACCCAGCCAGGTCCCAGGAAGCAACAGAAGAAGTTTTGAAAATGCAGATCCCCAGGCCCTGCTCCAGACTCTGGAATGTCCAGGATCAGAACCAGGCCGGGCATTTTGGGATGAGCCCCTGAGTAGCTGCGATGAGCATGCCCTGGAATCTCTCTCACCCAGAAGCTCTAGGGAAGCTCTGTGATCACAAACAAAGCCTGCATTTTCATGCTGAAGCAGGCAGCAGAGTACCCCAGGCTGCCAGGCCCACACCACCTATGGCAGGCGGGTGTTCCCATAAAGATGGGACAAGAGGCAGGACAGCGTCTGTCCCTCCAGAGTCACCTCCCAAATTAGGGGCTCAGTGCGCCTGACGTTAAGTACAGAATTCTTTTCAGAAAACATCAAGTTCTGGACTTGAAAGTTCTGGAATCTTGCCTCTTTCCAGGATGGTGGACACCAAGAAAAATGCCTCTGAGAATGGGGCCAGACATCTCAGCTTGGGCCTTTGCTTCCCACGGAGGGCTACAGAGGACCTCACGGAAGGTTTAAAGACAAAGCCTGGCTGGGTGGGTCCTGGGATCCCCTAACACATGAATACCTGCATTCACAGGTACCTACTAAGCCCCGACTACGTGGCCGGTCCTGAACACTGGGAATGCAGATAAATGCAGTAGACAAAGGTGACTACTTTGTTGAGCTGTTATTTTAGTGGGGGCAAGAGACACAAGAAAAAGATGAAATATTTTAAATGAGGTAGAAGGAAAAGGTCACAGTGAAAAGGTGACATTTAAGCAGAGACCTGAAGAAGGTGAGAAGTGAGCATGTGGACCCCTGGGGAAAGTGCATTCCAACAAAGGGCAGGTGCAAAGGTCCTGGGGCAGGCACACGCCTGGTGTGTTCTAGGAATGACAGTGAGGCGGCTGGTGTGGCTGGAACAGGGGCCAGGAAAGGGACAGGGACAGGAGCTGAGGTTAGTAGGAGTCAGCAGTCAGATGACATGAAGCCTCGCAGGTCAGACTCCAAGTGAGACAGGAGGACCCTGGAGGGCTTGCTGCAGAGCCTCAGTCTGATTTGACTTGTTTATGGGTAGGAGATATTTTCAAATACACAAGGTATGTCTGCCTTGTGTTTTCTTTTCTTTTTTTTTGAGACAGAGTCTCGCTCTGTTGCCTAGACTGGAGTGCAGTGGTACGATCTCAGCTCACTACAATCTCTGCCTCCCAGGTTTGAGCGATTCTCCTGCCTCAGCTTCCTGAGTAGCTGGGATTACAGGCGCGTGCCACCACGCCTGGCTAATTTTTACACAAGGTATGGCCGTCTAAGGATCATCTGTGGCCTTAGAATTTCCTGTCCGGCAAATAAGAAGATGTACAGGAAAACGGCCTGCCCATGCTGCAAGGGCTAAGAGAGTGCGAGAATGTCCCTAAAAATATCCTCACGGACTGCCTTTTCTTAGACAAAACATCTATTGCCCTAAGCATTTAAGTGTGGTCACTAGGGGTCGCTGGTGTTCCCCAGGCCAGCGGCTGCCCTGCTCTCTGGCCCAAGGCTCTTGCTGCACTTGGCAAGGCCCACACCCCACTGCAGCTCTAAGCCACAGTTCAGTACTGAGGACAGATTCACCTCCTAAGTATTCCAATGACCTAATATCGACCCTTCACACCAGCCCTCCACCACCCTTACAAGTCCATGCCCATCCTGAAGACCTGGGCTTGGTCCCGATGGAGCCCCCAAAAATGCAGCCCGAGAGTCCAGCACCCCCAAAACTCACCGGGCATGGAGAACGGGGACAGGAAGCCAGCCTCTACCGGCTCTGGTTCTGGGGGCTGTGGCTGTGGCGGCGGCTGCTGCTCCTGATTCTGCTGAGGGTCTTCGGGGTTTTCCATGGGAACATTCCCGTTCTCAATGTTCTCATGTCTTCCGTTTTGAAGCGGCTTGCTGCCCACACCGTTTGCTGAGTTGATCAGTCTCTGCCGCTGTGCGGACAGGAGGCAAGATGGACACCAAGGCGTGTGATAAAGCAACAAGCTATTGCTATATGCTGGGTTCCTTATACATACCCTGCTCTTACAGGTTCCCAGACCAACATCCCTGGGGACAGGTTTGCCTGAGAATCAGCCCCAGGATATTGGAATCCTTCTAAGTTTGGTTATTTCCATTTGCATGGTTGCCAGGAAGCCTTTGAAGATTTATCAGAGGGCCTGGGCCACCCCTTCCAAGTGCCAGCTCAACAACCCAGCCCATGTTACTGATGACAGCCATCATTCGGGGCTCTCCCTGGCGATGTTCATAGCTGCCTGAAAGTGGCTATAGGGAAGGCCCTGCATGCATTTTCTAATTTTTAATTTTTTAGGTACCTTATGCAAAATGTACACTTACTGCTGGCTGCGGTGGCTCAGGCCTGTAATCCCAGCACTTTGGGAGGCCGAGGTGGGTGGATCACTTGAGGTTAGGAGTTCGAGACCAGCCTGGCCTACATGGTGACACCTCGTCTCTACTAAAAATGCAAAAACTAGCTGGGCGTAGTGGTGGGCACCTGTAATCCCAGTTACTCAGGAGGCTGAAGCAGGAGAATCACTTGAACCCGGGAGGCAGAGGTAGCAATGAGCTGAGATCGTGCCACTGCACTCCAGCCTGGGCAACAGAGCAGACTCTGTCTCAAATAAGAAAAACAAAACAAAACAAAAAGGCTGGGCATGGTACCTCATGCCTGCTAATCCTAGCACTTTGGGAGGCTGAGGCGGGTGAACTGCCTGACTCAGGAGTTCGAAACCAGCCTGGGCAACACAGTGAAACCCCATCTCTACTAAAAATACAAAAAGATTAGCTGGGCATGGCAGCGTGCGCCTGAAATTCCAGCTATTTAGGAGACTGAGGCAGGAGAACTGCTTGAACCTGTGAGGCAGAGCGGAGATCACGTCACTGCACTCCAGCCTGGGTGACAGAACAAGACCGCGTTTCCAAAAAAATAAAAGTATACTTACACTAAGTACACAGCTTAATGATGTTTTACATGAAGATATACAACATTTCCAGGCCCTTCAGACTCCCCTCAGACACTTTCCTAGTCTACGTGCCCCTACTCCAGAGGGAACCAAAGCAAAGACTATGCTAACTTTTATCAACATTGATTAGTTTTCCTTGAACTTGAACTTCATATAAATGGACTCAATTAATAATGTATATTTTATGTCTTGCTCCTTTTATGCTACCAGTAGCCACGAGACTCCCCCAGCTTGTCGCGCGAGTCGGCAGTTTGTTTTCTGTGGCTGTGTAGTACTCTATTATATGAATAACCCACAATATGGCTTTGCCTATTGATGAGCGTGTAGGTAGTTTTCCCTTTTTGGTTATGAAGAATGCAGCAACGAACACCTGTGTACATGTCTTTTGTGGACATACAGCCTTTCAGTGTGTGTCACTGAAATTTTTAGAGCTGAAAGCATCCTGTCCAATACCCTTAGATTAAGTGGGCTAGTGGCTGACGTGAGACTGAAGCTCAGAATTCCTTCCTTCTGGACCCGGCTTCTCCAGCTGTGCACTCTGCCTTCCAGGTAGCCCAATCACAACGCGTGGAAGATAAAGTCTTCCCAGCAGCTTACAACATTTCGGGCCTAATAACCAGTATCTTAGCAACTTATCAAAACCTATTCCTTTCCTGGCTATATATGCCATGAAAAATATACTATACACCCCAATCTCTACATCTTTAAAAGTTGTTCAACCCTCCCCACCCTCAGCACCCAGTGGGTACAATGAACACTTGCCTGAAAGGTAGCCTGGATTGTGTAAAATTTCACTGATCCAAATTTCACTGAATTGGACCAAAATGATTCGCAATGATTCAAAGCTTTGGAAAAGCGTTTCCTTTTCTTAATATACTCTCTACAGAAAGGGCACAGTACACATGAAGTCAAAGCAGAAATGTTTACAATATAGAACCTGTAGGCGCCGTGAAATACTGTTCTTGCATAGAACCTATGTGTTAACTCCTAATTATCAGCGATCACAGTTTGAAGTCTACCAACCCATCTGCTTCTCAGAGTAAGTGCTTAAAATTTCAAAATAAGCAGACGTGTAACAAAGACTGGAAAAGTTGGTGAGCAATGACCCTATCTTTGCTATACTGTTTATACATTAAATAACATTAAAATTATTATCTCTGCAAATGAGAAATAAAAGCACCCCATATAAACACAGCAAGAGTATAAAGGAAGCTCCAGGGCTGGGGGCGGTGGCTCACACCTGTAATCTCAGCACTTTGGGAAGTGGAGGTGGGCAGATCATGAGATCAGGAGATTGAGACCATCCTGGCTAACATGGTGAAACCTCATCTCAACTAAAAATACAAAAAAAAATTAGCTGGGTATGGTGGTGCATGCCTGTAGTCCCAGCTACTTGGGAGGCTGAGGCAGGAGAATCACTTGAACCTAGGAGGCAGAAGTTACAGTGAGCTGAGATTGTGCCACTGCACTCCAGCCTGGGGACAGGGTGAGACTCAAAAAAAAAAAGAGAGAGAGAAAGAAGAAATGAAAAGGAAGCCCCAGAGGTCACTGTTGCTCCTTAGTGTCTTAGGTTTCCTCCTGGAGTTCTGGCCACAGAGAACAGGTGTGAACTCACCTTTTCTTTTTTACCCTAAATAATATTTTAAAGAAACAGTCCGTGCTTCAGACTGGTCTTTCTCCAATTAGTTCCACTCTAGTGCCTGACAAAATACTTAGTGAAACATCTCAGCCAGGGTATTCAATTGCTGCAGGCTTTAACATATCTTCTCAAAGGATACTTTGCTGCCTGTGGGTGATGGGCAGGCTTCCGGAGGCCCCAGGGCATCCTTCCTTAAACAGGTGTGGTGATCAATGGTGCCAGGAAGAGCCCTAATGAGCCAGGGCCTCCTGTTTCCACCGCTGCTCACTTTTACGGTCCTTCAAGCAAACTTACCTCATTAATGATGATCCTGCTGGCCATCCGTAGTCGGGTCCTGGGCCCAAACTTGTTGGTGATCATGATTCGTAAGCCTGCTTCTGGGAAGGTGAACTTGGGAGGGCTGGAGCTCATGATCTCGTCCACCATCACCACGGGGCTCTTGCCATACTGTGGCTTCTCCTTCACTATTGAGCACAATGCCATGATTAGTGCTGGTCTCTCTGAGAACACCCAAGTGCTGCGGTCACTGACTTCCCCTTGCCTTGTGAGCTGCCCTAGGCTGTGGTGCTGGCAGCTGGCAGCCACCTGGAAATCTGGATGCCTGGCTTCAACTCCTCATGTCAGGCAAAGTGGGTCACTGGCTTTGAAACACCTGCCAACCTCGCGTGTGAAGCCCAGTGGGTCCCCTTGTTCCAGGACCACTCATGGGCAATTGATGCTCTTCTCCCTCTCTTCTGGGGCCCAGTCTTGGCTAATTACAAGGGTCTTTCCGTTCCTCATATAAGCCTCACCAGGGCAGCCCACTTACAATACAGACAGGGGCCTACTACTTTTCTCCCATGATTATGAGGGGACCTTTCTTTCCTCCGTTTATAGAGCCTCGGGTGAATTTTTGCAAATCAACAAGGTCCCCAGGGTGGGGAAAATGCTGCAGAGCAGCAGGCACTGGCTCTGAACTTCCTATGAGGCCACCTGCTCTGGTCTGCAGGAGAGGATGTTAGTAACTTTGTTCTTTATAGGGCAAGTGGTAAGGTCAGAGATTTAGATCATGGGCCTTAGACAGGCAACTGAGGCTCAGGAGAGGAGCTTGCTTGTTTGAGGATGCATGGTGAGCTGCAGGCTGAGCGCCGTGACTTTATAAACCCTGACACCCTCCAGAGGGAGGCTGGTCTCTCTGACCCTTTCCTTCCCCTCACAAGGGGGAGGAACAAAACTCCTTGTCCCCAGACCTCTTCCTTGCCATCTTCATAAACCTGCACCGTGCCGGTATCCTTGGGGATTTGACACTTGACTCCGATCCCTAGGAGAGTCTAGTTACAAAACCACTCATGAACACAGCATGCAGACGTAGGCAGAATGTTCCTCCAAAGGGCTGTAAAAATGGCCATGCCTGTTCCTCTGCACTGGTTACCAGCTCCTGGTGAGTGCGCATTATGGGCTATAGGGTAACCAGGGAATCAGTCCGTTGAGCAAACCCGTGTAAGAGTTAATAGCACAAAAATGCACAAAGGCACACAGACACACACACTCCTCACCAAACAGGCAGCAAGGCTCAGCAGACAGGAGGCATGTGGGTTAGAAAACAAAGCCAGGAGAACATGCATTCGTTAGAGAACCTCTGACGAGGCTCACGGTGCATCGGTGGGCCGGGCTTAGGTTGGTTGTTTTGCTTGAAATGCAGGTGTTATCGCGTGGATGAAAGCTGACTACTTACAATTTAGAAGAGGAAGAGAGTTAAGGAGACAAAGGCCAACAGAGATTGCCAGAGACGATTAGCGTGCGGTGGGTGCTGAGTGTCTGCGGCAGCACTCCTAGTGGTGGCGAACACGCCAGGGGTTATGTGGCGGAGGGTGTTAGTAGCTATGGGGAGCTTCAACGCTCGGGGCCTCTGGCCTTTGGGATGGCTCCTATCCTGGCTGATTTGACGGCTCTGCTTCCACTCTGAGGAGCAGGAGTGCCCCCACAGCTCACGCCCTCAACCCCTCACTGATGCCGAAAAGATCGAATCCCTCTCGGCTCAGGTGCCTCCATCCCAGCAGGAGGTGGAACCCACAGAAACGGCAGGCTCTGGCTCCATCCTACAGACCAGCCCCATGCCAGGTACTGCTGGGGGAACAACTGGGCTCAGAGGGAGGGAGCCTGGAGTCTGTGAGACACGAGTCCAGGAGTCCAGGCCTGTGCCTCCACGCCCTTACATACTCTCTAGGGAGCTTTCTCCCTTGGCCCTTATCTAAATGCATTCCCTCTGATAAAAGCTACAGGAAGATGGGATTCTCCCACCTTTCCCAGGATGCCTGGCCCTCAGGACACCTTGTCCTGGTGCCCACTGACCCACGGCAGGACAAGGTGGTGTGCCCACACCTGGAGTGGCTGCCCAGACAAGAACCCAACGACAGCACATTCTCCTGGCAGTTCAGCCCAAGGCCGGGCATGACCCCAACTCTCCCCACTTCAAACCAAGGCCGTGCCCAGGGCCGGGGCAGCCCGGAAGGGTCCACACTGAGCCTCCTGGGTGAGGCTGGAGGCTGGCGGCCCTGGCTGTCAGGCTGTGTGCGAGGCCACCTGAGCACCATCAGGAGGCTGCGTTGACGAGCTGAGCCATGCAGCCTTTAAGAATGTTTCAGTACCCAAAGGCCTTTTATCAGTGTGGTGGGAAAAAGACTTTTTCCCCACCTTTCCTGTAAAGAAGTTGGAGGGAAATACAACTGAGAACAGCTTGATCAGGCCTGAGAGAGAGTGTGTGCTCTTGAGAGGATCTCCCAGCCAGCAACCCATGTCTTCCTTTTGGTGGGGTGGCCGCACGGCAACCTGCCTGCAGCTGGGCATGGGGAGGAAAACTCCGATGTCATCTCCAGCCAGAAGGTTCCATGGCAGCACCCTTAGGAAAGGAAAAGCCCCCAGGCCCGACCTCCCCAGTCCCAGCCGGAGTGTTACTGGGGCTCCTTCCTCCTGTTCAGTCATGTCTACGCAGGGGACAGTGAAGAGCAGTGACTCTCGCATGGCCCTCTGGGAGCCTCTTATGAGAGAGGCAGTAAAAAGTGGGGTGAGGAAATCCCCACATCTGCCTCTCCAGGCCTCCCTTTCTCTGATTCCAGGCATCCAGGCCTGCTCCCCACTTCCCTCCACACTCTCTAGGGACTGTTTCTCCCTTGGCCCTTATCTAAATGCATTCCCTCTGATAAAAGCTGCAGGAAGATGGGATTCTCCCTCCTTCCCCAGTGCTTAGGGGCAGTCCCATGTCCAATCATCCAGTTTTCTAGAAAATGTCCTGGACTTAAAGAGATTAGGGAAAAAATAAACTTTCAGGGGAGTCCCACTGTCAAAGGCACAAGAGTGATGGGGACAGGCACCGCAGTGCCGGAAAAGGCACCGCGTGGGCGGTGCCTCCAGGGAGCCTGGGTTGCGGGGGAGGGTGAGGAGCTGAGGCTCCCGGCCGGGCCGGGAATGAGGAGTGCTTCCCACAGGGTCCTGGGAGGTCTACTTGGTCAGCCACAGGGTGGTAGGTGGCTCTCGGGTGAGCATCTCCCACTGGACTGAGTGACTCAGCACACAGTACTTCTCTTCTTCGCCACAAAGGCCCAGAGAACCCAGGAGCACCGCACATAGGACAGGGCAGCAACTAGACTCAGTCCTGCCAGCCTGCGTGTGGGGACCAGTGATGGGTGTCTTGGGGCCACTGTGTCCGTGGAGCTAAAATCTGACACAGCAGCCCACATGGCTCCTTCCCCTTCTGAGGTTGTCCTGGAAACTGGCTTCCCCTGGGGTAGGCTGCTTGGCGTTTATGAAACACGGCATGCGAACCAAACTCCACACTCATCAGCTCCTCAGCTCTGCCCCTCGTGGGTGGGCCTCGGCAGCCAGGCTGTGGCCTGGACCGCATTTGAGAAGCTGCAGGAGGCCCAGGCTGGCTCTGCCACCCCACCTCAGCCGCCTGTCGTGGGCCCTTACATGAGTCAGGGACACCACTGCACTCTGAAGAGCCTTGTGCCTTTCTCAGGAAGCGTGGGAAAACTCCCAGGAATGTGGCTGTGCTTTTCTGGTGTACTTCCCCTCCATCCCTTCCCACCTAAGCAAACCCCATCTCCCATACTGACTCTCCCTCCTCACTTAGGGCACCTGCGGTCAGAGGTAAGAGAGTGACAATTTAGAGGGGGAACTTTGTCAGAGGGTGTGTGTGTGTGTGTGTGTGTGTGTACACTAAAGAGAAGGAGAGAGTGGCTTCCAGGACACATTGCTGCCCACTCCTGTCTGCTCAGCCTTACCTTGCCCCAGCAATGGCACGGAAGGGTCATCATAGCTACCATCATAGAAATCATTACCAGCCTCCAGCTCACTGTTGACCGGGTTGCCATTTGCAATGCTCTTTTGTTTGATTGTAAAAAAGGCTTGCATCTTCACATTGTACCTGGAAGTGAGGGGAGGCAGGAGGTCAGGACAGTGAAGAGGAGTCCCACCGACTGGGCAGGGGGCCATCACACCCCAGCCCTGCACGCAGTCAGCACAGCGTGGGAGTGGTGGGTGGCAGGGGAGGTGTGGAGCCTCGCCTTTTCAACTGGGCTGACAGTTTCCTGATAGGGACCTGGGAATGTCTGGGGGCACCTGCTCCTTTGAGCTGGTGGTGGGCTTCCTGGGGGCATAAGAGCCTTTTTACCCAAGAAAATGACTGAGGCCTACTTACTGGAGCCTGCCCTAATAAAGGAAGCTCGGCCTCACCTCCGGGACAGGCCCACAGGGGGCATTACCAGGCTCACAACGGGCAGACCTGTCCTCTCTGCCCCAGCAGCACACCTTGCTCCCGGGCTGCTCACAGGCACCCCCTGCACCACTCACAGCCAGCACTGCCATCGCCCCTGAGGGAAGAGTCTCTCCATCTCAAAGAACCTCAAGCCGGCTCCTCGCTGAAAGGCACTCAGAGTGCAGATCATTTAAGGACAATGCTTTTGCAGTCTGACAGTTTATCACCTGTTTTTATAAAACATTATAAATGTTTTATATAAATGTGGGATTTATATCCTCATAAAACCCAGAGTGTTGTCTTTCTTTTTAATTACCTATCAAGGTATGAAGAGGAAGATAAACCTGAATGTGGCTCAGCTCATGAGTAGAGATATGTGTGTGTGTGTGTGTGTGTGTGTGTGTGTGTGTGGTGGGAAAAAATACATATGTCATAAAATTTACCATTCTAAGTACTTTCCCCCTTTAAGTGCACAATACAGTGGCGTTAATTACACTCACATTGTTCTACAGCCATCACCATGGTTTCCAAAACATTTGTATCATCCCAAACAGCAACACTGCTCCCATTAATTAACTCCCTCTTCCTTGCTCCCCAGATGCCTGCACTGACCTCTGATCCACCTCTATGAATCTGGCTCTTCCAGATCCCTCGTGTAACTGAAATCAGACAATATTTGTTCTTTTGTGACTGGCTTCTTCCACTTAGCATAATGTTTTCCAAGTTCACCCATGTTGCAGCCTGCCAGAACTTTACTCCTTTTTCTGGCTGCGTACTATTCCTCATGGGTGGTTTTGAGATGGTTCTGACCTGGGTAGTTCTGGAGGGGCTCAAGGTTGCATAGCCTGAGTTTGCATCCCCAGGACCGTCAGTGGTGCTGCAGTTGTACAAAGCAGTGGCCCTGAGAAGTGGCATTTTATGAAGCCTGGGGCAGAGGTTAACCTGCCTGGCTTTTTGAAAAGAGTGATATTAAATTATCGGAAGGCTTCTAGAGACAACAAAAGTGAGTGGTTCCCCAGGGCATGGAGAAGCTGCCCAGAGCAGGGTGGGAAGGAGCTCCCTGCATGCTTCTTGTTTGGGGAGCAGCCTTGTGGTCCACACATCACCCAGCAGTGTGATTCCCCTTGCCTCAGTGTGGACGGCACCCTGAAACAGCGTCTAACACCCCTCCCCTACTTCAGCTGTCCCCCCCCAGGCTGTCCACCAGATGGCTGGGGCTGGCCTAAAAGGACAAAGTTTTGACAGATGTTTTTCTCCCTGCTGTCACAAAAAGCTAGAGCAGGCAGGGGCGCAGGGTGCTGGCAGCCCCAGGGAGGAGAAAGGACACTTACTTCATGATCAGAATATAAAACACATACAAGATGATGAGCACCAGGCCTTCCCACCTCAAAGAGAGAAAGGAGATTGCAATTAGAGCTTGGGGCCCATGGCATGTGAAGGCAGGGACCGAGGGGTCTGGGAGTGGAGGAGGGTGGGATGTCTTTACCTCCCCCACCCCCAGTGCCAGGCCCAGAACCTGGGCGCATGACAGACCCCCAGCCTGTAGCTGTCTTGCCACCAGCAGCCCTCTTGGTGATCAAGCGAGAAAAGCTGAGGGGTCTCTTCTCAACTAGAGAGGTCCGCAGGACAGAGGTGGGGTTCCCCCAGCTTCCTAGAAAAAAGAGGGACTAGGACCACCATATCTCAGGATTCATGGAGGCTAGTGGTCTGAAGTCACACAGACTTGACCCTGAGAGACCCTGTGGTCACCCAAGATTCTGGGCAGGAACCAGAGAAGCTGTGGGTATGGGTGGAAAGGGGCCTGATTCCCAGAAGTGGGGCCTGAGAGCTGAGCGAATACACAGCAGGCGGCACAGGAGCCTCCCAGGCCTTATGTTGGGCATGGAAGGGTTCGGGTCTTCCTGGGATGCACAATCACTACCCTCTGGTGCACTCCACCCAATCCCATGAGCAGTGGGGATTTTTGTAGCTCTAACCATAAGCCCCTGAGGGAGCACACGAGCTTTAGCTCATTCACTCACTTGACATGTATGAACCAAAGCCCCCTTTGTGCCCAGCATGGGCTACAGCTGTTTGGGGAGCTCTTCCCTTTGCTGACCTCCAGATCATGGAACCACTGTTGCCATCCCAACTCTGTCTACAGATGACAAAAATGAGACCCAGGGGTTCAGAGGCCTTCCTGGGGCCACACAGCAGGTTGGAGACCAGGATAGGACCAGAACCAGGTTTCTCCCGGCCTACAGCACACAGCTGCTCAGGGCAGGGGGCTGATGCCCTTGGTCTGATCATCTGACTCTATTTCTATAAATAATCATACAGGATACAGCCTGTAATCCAAGCACTTTGGGAAGTCAAGGCAGGTGGGTCACTTGAGCTCAGGAGTTCCCAGCCTGGTCAACATGGTGAAACCCTGTCTCTACAAAAAATTAAACATTAGCCAGGTGTGGTGACACACATCTGTAGCCCCAGCTACTTGGGAGGCTGAGGCACATGAATCACTTGAACCCAGGAGGTTCAAGTGAGCCAAGATGGCACCACTGTACTCCAGCCTGGATGACAGAGTGAGACTGAGTCCCAAAAAACCAAAAAAAAAAAACCAGGAAGCAGATTCTGAATTGTTGGCAATCAAAAGAAAACTTTCATGATTTATTACTGTAAGATGCATTCCCATGCTATCAAATAGAGTGGAAACATCAACCTGTTCCTCAGAAGTTTGCGATTTATGTATCTTGTTGGGGGCACAGGGTCTTACTATGTTGCTCAGGTCTCAAACTCCTGAGCTCAAGCCATCTTCCCACCTCAGCCTCCTTCGTAGCTAGAATTACAGATGTCAACCACCATGCCCGGCTATGTATCTTAATTAAGAAATCAATTCCTACCTCAGTGTCTTAAAGATGAGTCCCTATATTTTCTATGACATTTTCTAAAAAGTATCATTTTTACAGTAATATCGTTAAATCACCTGGAGTTTACCCTTGTATAAGGTGTGAGGTAGGGATATGATGTTGTGTTGGGCTGTGTGAATACCCAGTTGTCCCTGAGCATTCAAGACTTCATTCCTAACTCACTGCCTTATTATGACATCTCTGCAATATCCCCTATTCCAGAAATAGGCCCATAACTGCATTCCATATTGGCTTATCCTTATCCCTGTGCAAAATACCGTAATGTTTTTACAATTTTAGCTTTATACTATATCATGATATCTATCAGATATGATACTATAAAGGGAAACAATTTTTCTCACTTTGACAGGATAAAGAAAGACATGATTGCTTAGAATGATATCTTTTTTTACTGTCACAAATTAATAAGGTTAAGTTTATAAAAATAATTTTAAAAAAGATTCAGGGAACCCAACAAATAAGGATACTGGCAACAACAACAAAAAAGAACAATGAAAAATAAACTTAAGACACTTACCACACAATTTGTTCATCATATATGAACTGGAAGGCAAAAGAAACAGAGTTGAGGTGGCTGGGACATATTTATTTCAAAACAAGAACAAGCACAGACACTCAGGCACCCAGAGCCAACTTATACTGGCCTTGTTATATGTGTTATGAATTCATTTCTGAGCTGCTCACTTACAGGCCTTTCCTCAGTGGAGCCTAGGCCAGCAGAGTGCTGTAACACATGGCCTCAGCTTAGCATGGCCACCCCAGAGATATGGCCTGTGCTTTATAACAGTCTGTGTACCTGCTGGGGCTAACCTGGCAGAAGCCTCCCTGCATTCATGGAACAGAGTCACTATAATCAAGAAATCTCAGAGTCTGAAAAGACAGGTGTGTGTGTGTGTGTGTGTGTGTGTGTGTGTGGTGTGCAAATGTGTGTTGGAGTGTGTATCTTTTTTTGTTTGTTTTTGAGATGTAGTCTCGCCCTGTCACCCAGGCTGAAGTGCAGTGGTGTGATTTTGGCTCACAGCAACCTCCGTCTCCCAGGTTCAAGGGATTCTCCTGTCTCAGCCTCCCAAGTAGCTGGAATTATAGGCACGCACCACCACACCTGGCTAATTTTTGTACTTTTAGTAGAGATGGGGTTTCACCACGTTGGCCAGGCTGATCTCAAACTCTTGACCTCAAGTGATTTGCCTGCCTCAGCCTTCCAAAGTACTTGGATTACAGGTGTGAGCCACTGTGCCTGGCCTTCACTTCATTTTATAAATCAAAGCATTTTTTTTTTTTTTTGAGACAGAGTCTCACTCTGTCGCCAGGTGCCAGGCTGGAGTGCAGTGGCGCAATCTTGGCTCACTGCAACCTCTGCCTCCTGGGTTCAAGCAATTCTCCTGCCTCAGCCTCCCAAGTAGCTGGGATTACAGGCATGCGCCACCACGCCCAGCTAGCTTTTGTATTTTTTAGTAGAGACAGGGTTTCACCATGTTGGCCAGGATGGTCTCGATCTCTTGAACTCATGATCCGTCCACCTCAGCCTCCCAAAGTGCTAGGATTACAGGTGTTGAGCCACAGCACCAGGCCTTAACTCAAAGTATTTTTACATGATTTTAGTGAATCCTTAATTTTCTAGTAAGGTAACTGTCATGCAAATTAAGGAACGATTAGACTTTGCTCTGTCAGGAGTTTTATCAGGACTCATTTACTGTGGAAAATCATCACCATCGGCACCACCCACGGGGCTTAGGTGCCAGCCCAACACACAGGCATCAGTCTGCATTTGTACTAGATGAGCTCAGAGACTGTTTTTGTGGGAGGGAACCAATCCCTTCATTGGATCTCCTAGCATCTCCCTGCCAAAACATTTACATACTGAAAGATATGTTTTTCTATTATAAATTACATTTATTTCCCCTTTATATTATAGTTAGGGCATATGTTGACCTTTTTGAAATCATGTATCCATAGATTGTTTTATCTGTAAGTTCTATTTCTCAGGGCTGTGACAGGCAGCCTGTCGGGGAGTCCCCATGGTCCTACTGCCTGACATTCATGCTGCCCCTGGTGACTTGCTTCTAATAAACAGAATATGGCACACATGGCAGGTATCGCTCCTGAGAGCAGGTTAGGAAAAGGCTGTGGCTTCCATCTTGGTGCCTCTGGCCCTCGCTCTGAGGGAAGCCCACCACCCAGCTGAGAGCTGCCCTGTGGAACAGTCAGCGGCCAGAGTCCTGCCCACAGCCACGTGAGTCACTCTGCAAGCGCAGCTCCACCTCTGCCGTGATTCTACCCTGACTGACACTGTAACTGCAGCCCGGCAGAGGACCTGGCCTGGGACCCAGCGATACCATTCCTGACTGGTTTCTCAGCAGTTTAAGACCAAGATTTATTATCTCTCACAGGAAGTGGGAGAAAATAAATCTTTGGCTTAAACTGCTGAGTTTTGGGGAAATTTGTTATGCAGCAGTAGGGAACTAATATAGGGACATGACCATCTATAAAGTTGGCTGTAGGTCCCGTTGAGAGCTGTCACCCAAGGGCACATTCCACCCCTGCAAGTCTGAGCATATACGTGCCCCTTTCCCCCGCTTCAAAATTCTTTTGGTTTGAAATGCTCCCTGTGAATGCATGCTTCTTGGTTATGTCTGGCTGTATCGCCCACCTCACTATCAAGTGCCGTCATGTCACCCCAGCCCTTGGGGCCCAGTGGGGACACCCCATATCACTCCAACAGGTCCAGGGCCCCATTGAGCGATCCTCTCCTCTCCTTCCTCTCCTCCTGGCTCCTCTCTTGCTACCAGCTGCTCCCTCTGCCTGCCCCGAGCTGGCCTGCTCTCTTTCCCGCCCTGTGGGCAGCAGAACCAGAAATTCTGCATTTTAAAACCAATCCATCAAAGATTAAACAAGGCTTACACGGGGAGCAAAAGGGTCCCAGATGAGTAAAGCACCCGAGCTGAATTGCGCCTGCTTCCGAGGCCTTTTTGTCTTCAAGATGGCCCCTGGATTTGCTCCATCACCAAGGCGCCAGGCCTGAGATTTTGGGGAAATGGAGGCGCAGTGCTGGGGTGGGGGTTGGTCATTGTCACCACAGTGAGTGGTCAGCACACCCCACTCTTGGATGCTGTGAGTCCTCTCTGGTCACAGTGCCAGAGCAGAGATGGGCAGGGGTCCTATGCCTTCACAGGGTTCCAGCCAACCTGATCTTGGGGGCAGAGGGGCAACTCACCACGATGAGCACAATGACAGAGATGGTATAGTACACGGAGTCTCGGCACACGGCCCACCACGTCAGACGAACCACCTGCCGGCAGAGCCCTCATTGTCAGCTGGTATTAGTAGGGAGCGGGGAGGGGGTGCACCTCCCCAGAGCTCCTCCCCTCACAGTGCAGGGCACACCTACAGAGCTCCTCTTCCCAACTCCAGACCACACTTACTCTTTCTTATATTTTGGGAACAGAATGAAACCAAGTAATGTTCTCAAGCCATGGCACCATGGCAAAGCTGCCCGCTGTTCCTCTGAGGTCAGAACAGCACGTGTTTCACAGCAGAGGCCAGAGGCTCGCTCTCCACCTGATCCTGGCACCTTCAGGCAAAGTCGGCTGCCCACCTCCATCTCCCTCCATGAGGCAGGGCCTCACTCATGAGCTCGCCTCTCTGAGGTCAAGTTCAACATCCCCCCTGGTTTCTGAAGGTAGCTAATGGGGTATCAATGACAATCCAGCTTCATGCTCCCTGTTAGGGAGGCCAAAACCAAGCCCCAAATGTATCGAGAATCCAGCTCAGGTGTCCCCTGGGTGTCCTCACTGCTGCCCCACCCTCTTGTCATAGAGGCTCATCCCCCACACTTGAGGGCCTGCATCTGCCAGGCTGAGGGAGGAACCACTGACCTGCCCAGCAAACAGCCCACACACTCCGATTATACACAGGATGTTGAACACGGCGGAGCCCACGATGGTGCCGACCCCGACATCCCCGTGGGTGATGAACACACCTGGGAAGGAGACACACAGACGCCGGCCCTCCGTCACATGGCCCCAGCCTGCCTCTTCCTCAGTCCCCCTTTCACGGGGAGGTGAGTTGTTTCACTATCAAACAGAACACTCATGGAGCGGGAGAGAACGGTGGAAGCAGCAGCAGAACCAGGGAGGTGGGAATGCCGCCAGGGAGCAGCTACTCCAATCTTCCCATTTTAACTGAGCGGCTTTATCCAGATATAATTTACATGCTGTAAAATTTGCCCATTTAAATAAACAATTTGGTGGTTTTGGTATATTCACAGAATTCTGCAACCAAAACCACAATCTAATTTTAGAATATTTTTATCACCTACTCTACCCCAAGAAACCACCGGTCTACTTTCTGTCGCTCAAATTATCCCATTTTACAGATGAAAAAAGTGAGGCTCTAAGCTGACAAATGCCCCCACTGCTCTGAGCACCAAAGGGATTCTCTTTAGATGCTGTGCCTCGGGCTGGAGGGGATTTCTTACCAATTACAGAGGCAAACAGCTCTGGTGTTGAGCTTCCTGCAGCCATGAAGGTGGCTCCAGCCACATCTTCGCTCAGATGCAGCCTCTGAAACAGAAGTGACCACAGAACCTCAGGGTGTGCCATGGGGGCACTGGACATCACCGGACACTCCACGGTCAGGTAGCGTGCAAGAGCGCAGTGCCATAGCCGGAGTCAACTTCCTCTGGCCACAGCCTCTCACTCCTGGGCACATGCTGTCTGCCCTCTGCCATCTGCCCCCCACCCTCTACCTGGCATTCAACTCAGAGCCCCTTTCCCCTCCCCTACCTATCTCCTTTCTGTTCGTTCATCAAGCCCCTGACTGAATAATGCCTCCCTAATGAAGTCTTTCTATGCATCTACTCAGAGCTAGCCATTCCTCTCAGATGCCTGATATGTTCTATCTGCTGTTATTGAAATGTGAATTTCACATGAGGGTTTGTGAGCCACACGCTTGCCTTCCCTTGCCGGATGATGAGGGCAGTAGCTGTTCTATCCCATCTTTGCCTCTCTGGTGCCTAGAACAGGGCCTGGCATGGAGTGGTGCCTGACAGGCACACATCAGTCTCTCGGCCCTCCCCTCCCATGCCAGTTTTGGGTGCTGGGGGCTTCTATGAGAATGTCAGCATTGTGGACCTGGAGGCCCCTGGGCTGCAGCTGGGCCTTGCATTCCAGAAGGACTTCTCCATGGCCAGCCTGACATCCAGCTGCTCACAAAGACCAAGAGGTACTGGTTCCAGGGTTAAGCTGCTCGGGACAGGGTGGGAACTCCTGATCAAGGCCCGTCTGCCTGTGCAGGCCATGTTCCAGCCACAGAGCCCATCCTCTGAGTTGAAAGGTAGTGCTGGAGGCTTTGGATGTTTGGAGACACCATGGAGACTCAGAGTCTGCCTGAACCCCAATCTGGAGGCCCCTCAGGACAGGGCTCACCTCCACCAGCCCCGCCTCCCAAAGTATCCCTGAGCAGCCTGGACTCTGGCGCTGCCAGGGAGCCCACTGATCGGGCAGCCTTAGAAGAGTCCTCAGAAGGGTCAGAACTCTGGGCTTGACAGAGGCTGGGGTGGGGGCACAACACTGATCTCCAGGGTGGAAGCTCAGCCACCTTAACCCTGCCAAAAAGCAGGGTCCCACAGAAGAGGCCCTGCCCCCAAAGGATCTCCAGAAACTTTCAGCAGAACCCAAACCACGCTTCCTCCTGTCCTGCCTCCTCCCTGCCTTTGCCTGAGCCATTTCTTCCTCCCAGAATGCGCTTCTCTTCCCACTCTGCTTGCTAAACTCCTTCCCACTTCTGAAACCTGGACCCAATGCCACCTCCTCCACAAAGCCTTCCCAGATTTCTCCCCCAAGAGAGATGCTCTCCCCTCCTTCCGGCTCCCCTGTCCTTTGATGTCTCTTACTGAGCCTCTGACATTGGTCTTACCTACAGGGCTAAGAACACCACCCTTGCTCACCTCTGGGGTGGGGGCATAGCACTGATCTACATGGGGATACAGGCAATCCCATGGGGTGCATGTCACCTCCATGTGTATGGCCCTACACTGTGTCACCCACCTTCCACAGGCTTCCATCAACCCGTTACTATGGCCTCCCCAAGCTCTCAGCCTAGTGGGTGGGTCCTAGGTGTGTATTCAGTAAGAATCAGCTGACCGCATTCTTCCCAAGGGCCCCCTCGGGAAGACAGAAGCAGCAACACCTTTAACAACCACTGCCCCCCAGTGCACACTCCACAGGGGCCCTGGGTGGACCCTCCCGCACCATCATCCCAGTGGGCATTTCCAGACTCTGTTCCTCACCCTCCTTCCCGGCTTCGCTCTCTCACTGACAAGCGTCTGGATGGAGGCAAGCACATGGCTCCATCTGAGGGGCTGTGGGGTGAGGGGAGGCCTTTGCACACATTTGCCAGGTCACTGCTTGGGGGGCCCAGGTCCAAAGCAGCCAGTCCTGACTCTGGCGGGACATGGAGCTCCCTGAGCTGGGCCAAGCAGTGGGAGAGTCCAGGGAACACATGCCCCGAACAACCTGCCTTCCCAGCTGCCAATGTCACCATGATGACACGGCTTCAAACCCCTGGGAGGTTTCACAGGGATGAAGGGTGGCAAAGCCCTGGGCACTCCGCACACAGGAGGTGCTGCAAATGGAAGTCAATCTCCTCCTTGATTAGAAGCCAAGAGTAAGGTGGAGCAAAGAGATATGCTGGTGTCTTGTATATGAGGAGAATTAAGGAAAGAAAGGAAAAAAAACCAGCAAAATAATTTTGGGGAGAAAACGTCAGCGTGCAAAGATCAGCACAGAAGGGAATTCTCTGACGCTGCAGCAGGCGGGCGCCCTGGCGGGATAGGGGTGGGCCCCTGTCACCCGTCACCTGCAGCTGGTGACAGGCAATGCTCCACTGCAGCTGGCGGGCCTGCCTGGGCTTTGTGCCTAGCCAGGTTGGACATACACGCCGACAGCCTGCTGTGGACCCAGTGGTTCCGGGTAGTGATCTCGCACTGGGAGCATCTTCTTCTGCCGACCTCTGGGAGAGGCTGTTATCCGCCAAGGCTAATGCGAGGGTTTCCGGCAAGGCTTCACCATGGGGCAGACACTCAGGGCTCAGTGTGACAGTCTTTACCACCGGCATGCTCCCCACGTCAGTCCTGGCCTTCTCAGCCTGGCATTTATGAACCACCTGCCTGCAATCACCCCCAACCCTCCAGCCTGCACCAAGGCATCCCAAGTCCCTTCCACGTACCTCACAGATCTTCTCTAGAGACGGGACAAAGAAGTCATCGCACACTATGGCCAAGGCATAGAACATATACAGAGCCTGCGGAGGAGAGAAGAGACAGGCAGGGTTGGTGAGGGCCCCTCCTGCAGCTGCAGAGGTCCCACTGTACCCCACACCAGGCTGCCAGCACAGAGGCCAGGTGCACAGAGAGGGGCACACAGGAAAACTCCAGCACCATAGATTGGTTCCCTCAATCCCCTTACTAGCAAATGGGGAAACTGAGGCCCAGAGAGGTGATAACATGCTGAGCAGAGGGAACAAAAACCTGGCCACTCAGGCTCCCTCCTCTTGTGATCTAATAAGAAACATCTATGTGGTCTCTGCCCTTGGTTTCTGGTACACAGTTCCTGAAACCTGTGGAACCTCGGGCATTCCAGGAAGGTCTTCTGCATGTTGAGATGACTGGTGGCTGGGGGCACCTAGGTAGCTTCAGGATGGGGGCAGGTCACCAGAAAGACCAAGGCAGGATGAGTGAGTTGGGACTTTGAGCCCCAGCCCCCAACCTCCAGGGAGGAGAGTGGGGCTGGAGGTTGAGTTGATCACCAGTGGCCAATGAAAGAAATCAGTCATGCCTGTGTAATGAAGCCTCCATAGAAACCCAAAAAGACAGGGCTTCAGGGGTTTCCCCATAGCCGAATATGTGGAGGTTCCTGGCGGGTAGCAGGCCTGGGGAGGGCATGGAAGCTCTGGACCCCTCCCCCATACCCTGCCCTACACATCCCTTCCTCTGTATCCTTTTTTGTTTTTGAGACGGGGTCTCACTCCACCACCCAGGCTGGAGTGCAGTGGTGCCATCTTGGCTCACTGCCGTCTCTACCTCCTGGGCTCATCATGCTCCCACCTCATCCTCCCAAGTAGCTGGGACTACAGGAACACACCACCACACCCGGCTAATTTTGTTTATTTTTCTGTAGAAATATTTCTCATTATGTTATTCAGGCTGGTCTTGAACTCCTGGACTCAAGTGCTTCCCCTACCTCAGCCTCCCAAAGTGCTGGGATTATAGGAGTGAGCCAAGGCAACTGGTCCTGTATCCTTGGTAATATCATTTATAATAAATTGGTAAATGGAAGTAAAAGTATTTCCCTGAATTCTGTGAATTCATTGAGCTCTAGCAAATTCATTGAGCCCACGGAGGGGGTCGTGGGAACTGATTTATACCAAGTTGTTCAGAAGCACAGGTAAAGTAACTTGAGGGTTGTGACTGCCGTCTAAAGCAGAAACAGTCTTGTGAGGCTGAGCCCTTGGTGTGTGGGAGCCGCTGCTGTCTCCAGGTAGACCGTGTCAGAACTGAATTGAGTTAGAGGACACCCAGTGGTGTCTGCTGAATTCTTGGCACGTGGGGAAAAAGCCCACACGCACTTTACTGAGCAGAGATGAAGTCGAATGTGGTGAGCGAGTCTGAGAGCAGGAAAACCACTTTTATTCCCCACTCTGAAGTATCTCTTCTTAAAGCAGCAGCTCTCTCTTCTAGCACCAGAGTCTGCCCTCAACAGGCAAGAGCTAACCCTATGGCCAAGGAGGAAAGCACTCAGAATAACCATTTTGAGAATTTAAAATAATCACAATCCTGATTTGTCCCGTTCATTTTTAGGGAAGGCATTAAAGTGATTCATCCACTGCCGAAACAAACAGCAACTTGAGGTCCAGAATTTCCTGGGATGCTACTTAATAATGTCGGCACCATTAAAACACACAGGCCACTGACATTCAGAGGTTCCTGGAGTAAAGAACCCAGATTCTAAGGCTGGTTCTGGAACTGACTTGTCAAGTGACTTTGGATTTAAAAACTTGTCTACGTTTTGGTTTCATCATCTGTCTCATGACGAAGTGAGAACAGATCAGCAGGTTTAATGTGGTTTCATATCTAGGGGCCTCTCCCTGGCCCATCCCTCTGTTCAGCAGCCAACAAGGCTTCACTGAGCTCATCCTCTGTGCCAGGCACTACCAAGGGATCAGGGATACAGCAGTGAGGAAGCCAGGAACACCCTCTTCTATAACTTACCTTAGTGGGGAATAAAGAAGCACAGTGGCCAATAAAATATCTACCAGGAAACAGCAGTGCAAAGGCCCTGAGGCAAAATGTGTTTGATGCACTTGAGGAATGACAGGTAGAACAGAGAGAGTGGAAACGGAGAATGTGAGGTTAGAGAAAGCAGCAAGGACCAGAACACACGGAAAAGAGATGGGTTTTTCTCTAGCACTGGGGGAAGCCATTTCTTTCTTCAAAGAAAAAGTGCTGTGGATGATTTGTTTACAAAAGAGAGAAAGGCTGGGTGACTTCAGCTAAAACAGTGTGATACTCAGTGACTTCACCATTCACTCATTGTGATGAACAGAGTAGAAGATCCATTAGCAGCAGCCAGGGCATCTGAGGCAGGTGTCTACTGGATTTGACTCACTGTCAACATTCTAGGGAAGACGAGTGAAAAGAAACAAATAGCAGGGGTGTGGGTAAAGGGGAGAAGGCAGGTGGGGGAGACCCTGCTACAAAGCTGAGGATTCTGACTTGAATTCACGCTCCAGCAATCCCCACCCTTGTCACCTCCTGAGAGGCCAAAGGGCCTATTTCTCTTCTGAATGTGTTTGATGCGCATCTCTTGGCCCATCTTCTCTCTCCTCAGAAACAATGGAAAGAGAAGATGGGCCAAGATGGTACCCCAATTTCCATTTCTTGGGTCATGGAGCACTGCAGGCAAAACTGGCTCCTAAGCTAGGTCCTTTTTGTGCTCTAAAGAAGAGGTAGGTCAGCATTCATCTACCCATTCAAATCAAAACAAGAAAAAACAAGAGGTCAGCAAACTTTTTCTGTAAAGAGTCAGATAGCAATATTTTAGGCTTGCAGGCCAAATAGTCACTTCCACAACTACTCTGCTGTTGTGAAACAAAAACAAGCCATCGAATGGGTGTGGCAGTGTTCCAATAAAACTTTATAAAAATAGTTGGTAGTATGGGGGATGATTTTCCCATGCTGTTCTCATGATAGTGAGTGCGTTCTCACGAGATCTGATGGTTTTATAAGGCAGTTTTCCCTGCTCTTGCATGCTCTCTCTTCCCTGCCACCATGTAAGATGTGCCTTTTCCCTTTCCACCGTGATTGTAAGGTTCCTGAGGTTTCCCCATCCATGCAGAACTATGAGTCAATTAAATCTCTTTTCTTTATTAAAAACAAACAAACAAAAAAAAACAGTTGGTGAGCTGGATTTGGCTCTCCAGCCAGTTTGGTAACCCCATGCTCTAAAGGGTTCCTGTGAAATTCCCAGGGTGCACCAGGTTCAGCAGAAACCTGAGGTTTTATCTCAGCTATACCAAGACTTTTATGAGGCAGGACCACACAACTACGGGACCAGTTAGCCACATCCACACTCCCTTAGTGAAAGAGGAGGGAATATAAAGCCAGAGAAGCTTGAAAGAGAATAACTCTATTATGGAAATAATAAGCAGGCCTATTGTTCAAAATGTGCTGCCAACCCTCACTCTAGTCTTCGTTTTCATTAATGGTTTACCCTGTTAATTAAAACTTCACCCATTCATTATTTTCTGGTTGTTACTATCTATGTGGGAAGTCCAGATTTCACTTTCTTAATGATCTCTTACAGAGGGTAATATTTGGTTGGGTTTAAATATACAAACAGATGGTGCTGGGTGGTCGGAGAAGCTGATCAGGAAGAAAATTTGCTGTGGTTGATCCAAAGCAGAGAAACAAACCTTGACCAGCTACATTTCTCCATACCACTCAATAGTGTCAACAAACCCTTTCTCTAAAGGGGCAGATTATAAATATGTTTGGCTTTTGGGCCACGCAGTCTCTGATGCATGTACTCAGCTCTGCCCCTGAAGAGCAAAAATAGGCACAGATATTACAGAAATGAATAGGAGTGTCCGTGTTCCAATAAAACTTTATTTAGGGCCAGGCTCTGTGGCTCATGCCTGTAATCTGAGCACTTTCGGAGGCAGAGGTGGATGGATTGCAAGGTCAAGAGATCGAGACCATCCTGGCCAACATGGTGAAACCCCGTCTCTACTAAAAATATAAAAATTAGCTGGGCATGGTGGCGTGCACCTGTAGTCCCAGCTACTCGGGAAGCTGAGGCAGGAGAATTGCTTGAACCCGGGAGGTGGAGGTTGCAATGAGCCAAGATTGTGCCACTGCACTCCAGCCTGGTGCCTGGCAACGGAGCGAGACTCTGTCTCAAAAAAAAAAAAAAAGCAAAAGACAACAAAAAAAACCAACTTTATCTATAAAAACAGGCATGGGCCAGACTTGGCTGGGGTTGTGGTTGTCTACTCCAGCACAGCAGAGTGACTTGTAACTCAGATTTGAACCCCTATTTCTTTTCAAATTACTTCTTGACCTCCCTCCACCATTTGTCATCAAGGTTCATCTGAATATGGAGGGAGGTTTGAGAAGTACAGCACAGTTTTAAACTACAGATGCTCCTAGAATTACAATGGAGTTACAGCTTGATAAACCCATGTTAAGTTTAAAATACTTTCAGTGGACCAGGCACAGTGGCTCATGTCAGTAGTACCAGCACTTTGGGAGGTCAAGACAGGTGGATCATCTGAGGTCAGGATTTAGAGACAAGCTTGGCCAACATGGTTAAACCCTCTTTTTACTAAAAATACAAAAATCAATTGGGTGTGGCAGCAAATGCCTGTAATCCTAGCTACTTGGGAGGCTGAGGCAGGAGAATCACTTGAACCCAGAGGCAGAAGTTGCAGTGAGCTGAGAACATGCCACTGCACTCCAGCCAAGGTGACAGAGCAAGACTCTGTCTCAAAAATAAATACATACATATATACATAAAATACTTTAAAGTGGAAAATGCATTTAACCCAATTAACCTACTGAACAAGTGATGTTCAGTATCATAAACATACTCAGAATACTTAATTAGCCTACAGCTGGGCAAATTCATCTGGCAATACAGTATCCTGTAGAGTACTGGCTGTTTGTTTACACTCATGCCCACATGGCTGACTGGGAGCTGCAATTGCTCTTACTGCCCAACTTGAGGAGAGAGAATCACTGGCCCAAAAAAAGATAAAAATTCAAAATTCACAGTGTAGTTTCTTTATACTTCCAGAATAGGGCACTGAATATGTCTCACTATTGCAACATCGTAACACTGAAAAATAGTACTGGGGGACCATCTACATAGTGATGTAAAGGTGTTAAAATTTAGGGGTAGTCATGGGAATCCTGACAGCAAGCACTTGTAGGAGATATCATGTGCCACACAACGTTGATGCCCTTGACCCATATTCATTCATATTTACAATCTGTAATAGGCACCATCATCCCCGTTCTATTAAAGCAGAAAATGGGGTACAGGAAAGAGTTGCATTCCTGTGTTGGCTTGGGGCCACTAGCTCTGTGACACTGGGTGAGTCACCTAACACATGCAAGACATCATATCTTTGTGGGTAAAATGTGCCCATTCTCTGCTCTCCTCACTGGGCTGTTACAAGAACAAAAGATCTCAGACAGGCCACGGCTCTGCCCTGCTGTGCAGAGAACAAAAAAGATCTCAGACAGGCCACGGCTCTGCCCTGCTGTGCAGAGAACAAAAGATCTCAGACAGGCCACGGCTCTGCCCTGCTGTGCAGAGAGCAAAAGATCTCAGACAGGCCACGGCTCTGCCCTGCTGTGCAGAGAACAAAAGATCTCAGACAGGCCACGGCTCTGCCCTGCTGTGCAGAGAGCAAAAGATCTCAGACAGGCCACGGCTCTGCCCTGCTGTGCAGAGAGCAAAAGATCTCAGACAGGCCACGGCTCTGCCCTGCTGTGCAGAGAGGCTTCATGTGCCAGGAGTTTTGTGACTGCTCTGGTAAGACCACTTACACCAAGGATGTGCAACAAGACAGCTCCATGCTGACGCTCCTTATTGGAGAACAGGTCTGTGGGGAACTCGTGAATCGCTGGAAAACAAAAAGAGATGGCAGAGCGTTAGTCATCTGTGGACCTCCCGACAAAGCTCACTTGACATCTGGGAGCTCACTAAGGAACTTCAGAGCCTACTGGGGTCTGGACTGATCAGCGAGAAGGCCGGCCATTTCTCAGTCCAGGGGCAGGCCAGTGCTCCCAGGAAATAGTTGCTGGATACTAGATTATCCACAGATATTCTAGACCCTTGTAGTTGATCATGTTTTAGATATGTCTTGCATTTTAAAAAACAATATGAAATGCTTCACACACACTACGATAGCTAGAATCCAGAACAGATAGTAATAAGTGTTGGCAAGGATATGGAGGTACTGGAACCTCAACTGCTGCTGGTGGAAATGTAAAATGGTACAGCCCTGGGAGACGATCTGGTAGTTCCTCAAAAGATTAAACATAGACCATATGACCCAGCAATTCCACTCACAAGTGTATGCCCAAGAGAAATGAAAGCATATGTCCACACTAAAACTCACACATCAATGTTCATAGCCATATTGCTCATAATAGCTTAAATGTGGAAACAATCCACATCAAGTGCTTTGAGTTTCCTGCACCCCCAGGCAGCTATGAGCAACTCACCTGCTCAGTAATAGAGAAATAATCCCTTCTCACCCCCCCACTGCAGCATTCAAAATGATCAGTGGATAAACACGCTCACCAATGGACCTATACAAATGAATTCCATTGCTACAGATCCTGTTTAGGGTGCTCCCAGACCTCCACCCATCCTCACCACACCAGCTAAACTGGAAGCTTCCAGAAGGCAGGGATCCATAATTCCCTGTTCGCCATTTCACCCTTGGTACCTAGGCCAGGCCTGGTACACAGTAGGTTCTCGATCAACCTTAGCAATTGACCGAATAAACAAAGGCAAAGTATTAAGAAAATAACAATATGCATCATCTCATCTTACTAGAATATTTTTATTACCCTTGTAAACCCCTCAAACAACTGGAATGATACCTGGTTCATAGTGGGTGCTTGATAAATCCTTGTTAAATAAACCCCCAGGACAGAAATCCCTTCTCTGCAAATATAATTTGGCCCTAAGCTCTGAAAATGATGCTTTCTCCCTTATATGGAAACTTTCCTGATTTTTAAGATCTGATTCTCCCGGCAAGCCACAGAAAACACCAGCTCCCCAGACACCCAGAAAATGTTCCCACTTTGAAATAAGCAGCATTTAATGAAAAATAGATTCTTTCACTTCCCTCACATCTCTTTCTTTTTTTTGTAATCAAACTTCTTTAATAGAGTTGCTGCTGTCGGTTCAAGGGCACAAATTGACTTCAAAGTTTGTCGGCTCAGAGATGGAGAATCTCCCTATAGGGAGAGACTTGGCATTGTGAGGCCAAGATCTTCCTTCAGGAGAAACGCAGCTGTCTGGGATACTTCAGTGCAGATCAATAGACATTTCTGCCATGAAAATTCGAGACATTTCCTGACCAAACCAGGGTCAGAGAGCTGACTGATTTATCCCATCCTGGGAATCAGAATAACATCTTTGAAAATTTTTGAAAAATGAGAAGTTTGGAAAATTAGAATAATGTCATCTTTCTACTGCTGGGGACATATAGCCTGGTCTCCAGCAGGGAGGTGACATGGGTTATAAATGGCTTTGCCCTTGGTAGGAACAGGCTTCTACTCACTTTGCTCTGCACACCCATGCTGAGGGCTGTAGAGGAGAATGAATGGCATCTATGGCCTTAATTTTGCCAGCTAAGACAGTGGTCACCGGCAGAGCTCCCGACTGCCTGTGCCCTCCCAACCTCTGTACCCATCCATGTCTTCATGGCCCATCTTGAACCCACAAAGCAAGCACTAGAGCCAACAACGTTCCTGTTTTCAGATGAGGTTCAGAGAGGGAAGTAACCAGCTCAGAGCACCCAGGCATCTACACAGGTACTCACAGCGGGACCTGATGTTCCTCATCAAAGGTTAAGCCCTGCCTCTAACACTGAGCCGATCTGGCTGAGTGAAAATCATGGCACTTTGTGGGACTGGCATCCTAGCCTGACCACCCCTGAGCTTGTGTGGCCCTGCTCACATCCTGAAACCTCTCTGACCCTGTCTTTTCAGTGGCAATCTGCTGCTGCTTCCACTTGTCCAGCCTCATGCCTGGCTTTGCACCCCTGTGTGTTGGGGGGCTGTGGAGGAGAACGAATGGCTTCTATGGTGATGAATCAGGAATCCTTATGTGTGGCATGCCCTGGCATGGACATCAAAGGCTGTGAGCAGTCAGATATCCACCCCGCCCTCCCCAGATGGTGGCTGATAGCTGGGATCAGTCCACCGCACAGTTCAGGATTAAAATCCTCCAGGAACTGGCATGGTGCAGGGGGTGGGTTTGCCGCTCTAACAACTTAGAACTGCAGATGTCCCACACAGCTGTTCAGTGCACCATCTCTAGCAGCAGATAGGCTTAGGTTTCATCCTGATGACCTGTGGGACCTGGGCAAGTTGCCTAATACCTCGGGGACTGCTCCCTCACCTATGAGTGGAGATCACAGCAGAACCTGGGCCATAAGAAGTGAGACCACATATGCACAGCACTGAGCTGAGCCAGGCTCTACTCACTCAGCATCACGAACTTACAGACTCATTCCTTGACATCCATTCTGTCCCCACGGCTCCACAGAACACACAACCTTGGTGTACGAAAGCTAAAGAGAAGGCAAAACTGGCTTCTTGGAGAAAGAGAGAAAGAGCAAGAGAATGAGAAAGTAAGACATGATTCGGGCTACATGAGAATCTGAAGCCGGGAGCAGTTTAATCCCAGGTTCCCAAGAAAACCTTCTTTCTCCTCCCATGGTCTTCCTGGGATCAGGAGTCACTGGGCCACGTTCAAGGGTGTGATGCTTGCGTGTGTGAGGGGGCTGAGCCTGCCCTGTCCGCTCAAATCCCCACCAGGGAGGAGGGAGGGATCAGCACGGAATATACACATGGCTTTTGAGGTCATGCCTAAGCCTTTAAGCTGCAGAAATCCGGAGATGGAGGGTGGAGGGAAGGGAGAGATGTATCTGCAGGTGGAATCAGGCTCAATGAACAAGGGATGATCCTAGCACCCTCAATGCCCTGGAGACATGGAATGAAGGGAAAGGGGGGACAGGAGGGAAGGCAGCGGCTCCTCATTCCCCTTTGGACCTCAGTGCCCAGAAGTGCCTTCCATCACTCTTGATCCTGGAAACACCCAGGTATCCTCACACCCCAGGCATCTGCCTCCCTCCCGTGTGCCCATCCTCTGCTGTGAGCAGGGCCCAGGGAAGCTGGAGGACATCTTTCCTGCCATTGCCTTCCTGAATATTGGAGGGGAAACTCCAGCATCCTTGGGGACAAAAGCACCTCCAATGCCCCCAGCACCCTACAGTCTGCCATTTGGAGGCCTCAAGGCACACCTGAGCTGTTTTCTTTACACACAAAAAGCTCCATGGGTGATGAGCCTAATTAGTGCTGCCCATTCAGGGCTCCAAACTTTCACCAACATTGCTCCTGCTTCTCAAAACGGATGACTTTATTCAACAGCATTTACAAAGCACCTGCTTGGTAGCCACTGGACCATCTGGGAACGGCTGGATGTGACCCCAGTGGACTCTGGGCACCCTCAGACATGGCAGCTCTTCCTCTCACAGGGTGGCTTGACTTGGAGAAAGGCAAGTTTCTCAGAAGGTGGAAAGTTATTGAGGTGGGAAAACCCCCAATCCTGAAAGAATGTGAATCGACGCGTGTTCCTTCAGCATTTACTATGTGCCAGGCACTGGACTAGGCGTGGAGCCTCATGGATGTGCCTGGTCTACAGGACAAGTAAACAAATGACCGAGAGACAGTGAGAAGCCTGTTGCGATGGGGCAGCATAGAATAAGTCAGGGGTCACCGACCCGGGGGAGTTGCTGGGAAATGTGCAGCCAGCCCCAGGAGTGGGTGGTGCCCACATCAAGCCCTGAAGGCTGCTCCCAGTCAATTCTGAGAAACTCATTATTCTCATTTTATTGAGAGGAAGTGGAGGCTCTGAGAGACTAAAGTCACCTACAGTCACACCTACAAAGTCTGGCACAGATAAGAGAAGAACCCAGGTTGGGAGGCCAACCAATACCAGGCTCTCTTTATTGGAGCATTTTAACCCCAAGAGACGTACATCTCAGATCGCCTCCATCCCAGAAGCAGTCCTTGTATTCTTCTTTTTTAAAAATGTATTGCACTTTAGGTTCTGGGGTACATGTGCAGATCATGCAGGACTGTTGTATAGGTACATACATGGCAATGTGGTTTGCTGCCTCCATCCCCCTGTCACCTATATCTGGCATTTCTCTCCATGTTATCCCTCCCCAACCTCCGCACCCCCTGCTATCCCTCCCCTAGCGCCCCTCAACAGACCCCAGTGTGTGATGCTCCCCTCCCTGTGTCCATGTGTTCTCATTGTTCAACACCCACCTATGAGTGAGAACATGAGGTGTTTAATTTTCTGTTATTGTGTCAGCTTGCTGAGAATGATAGTTTCCAGATTCATCCATGTCCCTACAAAGGACACAAACTCATCATTTTTTATGGCAGCATAGTATTCCATGGTATATACGTGCCACATTTTCCCTGTCCAGTGTATCATCAATGAGGCCCTGTATTCTTGTAAGCTCTAAGGGCCATGCCAAGAGGCCATGATCTGAAATGTACATTAGATTTTGTTGGTCAATTCTGCCTGCATCCCAGAATTCACCCATACAGAGGTCTAGGCCATTATTAAATGGATCCAGAGAAAACCTGTCACATTCCTTGATCTTGAAACATTTAATGCAAGTGACCACTTCCTATTTGCACATGAATGAACATATGTATATAATGAACATATGTGTATATAAATGAACAGATCAATCTACTCATCTATCTTAAATACACTGAAATGCATTCTTCATGGTGTGCAATTGCATGGGTTTTGAGAAACACACACAGTTGTGTATCTACTGCCACACCTCAGACAGAATCG